AAAAGAAGCCCTTGAGGAATTCCACCATGATTTCAACAATTTCCATCCCACCACCAACCTCAGCCTGGTCCAGTCCACACAAGAGATCCACTTCCTGGACACTACAGTGCTAATAAACAATGGCCACATAAACACCACCCTATACCGGAAACCTACTGACCGCTATTCCTACCTGCATGCCTCCAGCTTTCACCCTGACCACACCACACGATCCATCGTCTACAGCCAAGCTCTGCGATACAACCGCATTTGCTCCAACCCCTCGGACAGAGACAAACACCTACAAGATCTATGTCAAGCTTTCTTACAACTACAATACCCACCTGCAGAAGTAAAGAGACAGATTGATAGAGCCAGAAGAGTTCCCAGAAGTTACCTACTACAGGACAGGCCTAACAAAGAAAATAACAGAACGCCACTAGCGGTCACCTTCAGCCCCCAACTAAAACCCCTCCAACGCATTATTAAGGATCTACAACCTATCCTAAAGGATGACCCAACACTCTCACAAGTCTTGGGAGACAGGCCAGTCCTTGCCTACAGACAGCCCCGCAACCTGAAGCAAATACTCACCAACAACCACATACCACACAACAGAACCACTAACCCAGGAACTTATCCTTGCAACAAAGCCCGTTGCCAATTGTGCCCACATATCTATTCAGGGGACACCATCACAGGGCCTAATAACATCAGCCACACTATCAGAGGCTCGTTCACCTGCACATCCACCAATGTGATATATGCCATCATGTGCCAGCAATGCCCCTCTGCCATGTACATTGGTCAAACTGGACAGTCTCTACGTAAAAGAATAAATGGACACAAATCAGATGTCAAGAATTATAACATTCATAAACCAGTCGGAGAACACTTCAATCTCTCTGGTCACGCAATCACAGACATGAAGGTCGCTCTCTTAAAACAAAAAAACTTCAAATCCAGACTCCAGCGAGAAACTGCTGAATTGGAATTCATTTGCAAATTGGATACTATTAATTTAGGCTTAAATAGAGACTGGGAGTGGCTAAGTCATTATGCAAGGTAGCCTGTTTCCTCTTGTTTTTCCTACCCCCCCCCCCCCCGATGTTCTGGTTTAACTTGGATTTAAACTTGGAGAGTGGTCAGTTTAGATGAGCTATTACCAGCAGGAGAGTGAGTTTGTGTGTGTATGGGGGTGGGGGGGATGTGAGAAAACCTTGATCTATGCAGGAAATAGCCCGACTTGATTATGTAAAGAGTTGTCACTTTGGATGGGCTAGCACCAGCAGGAGAGTGAATTTGTGTGGGGGGGTGGAGGGTGAGAAAACCTGGATTTGTGCTGGAAATGGCCCACCTGTTGATCATTTTAGATAAGCTATTACCAGCAGGACAGTGGGGTGGGAGGAGGTATTGTTTCATATTCTCTGTGTGTATATAAAGTCTGCTGCAGTTTCCACGGTAAACATCTGATGAAGTGAGCTGTAGCTCACGAAAGCTCATGCTCAAATAAATTGGTTAGTCTCTAAGGTGCCACAAGTACTCCTTATCTTCATTATGTATAAGATGCCAAATCCTGCTATACTCATGGAATTGATATCTTGTGGCAATGAGTCCCATAGACCAATTATACCACATTTCATTAAGCAAAGGTTTTCCCTGCTGCACATCCATAACTGCCACTTTCCTTTTGTCAGGTTTCAGAGTAGCAGCCGTGTTAGTCTGTATTCGCAAAAAAGAAAAGGAGTACTTGTGGCACCTTAGAGACTAACCAATTTATTTGAGCAGAAGCTCTCGTGAGCTACAGCTCACTTCATCGGATGCATTCAGTGGAAAATACAGTGGGAATGCATCCGATGAAGTGAGCTGTAGCTCACCAGAGCTTCTGCTCAAATAAATTGGTTAGTCTCTAAGGTGCCACAAGTACTCCTTTTCTTTCTACTTTCCTTTTGGAAATCCGTGAGCTGTTCTTGCCAGCCCCTGACAGTAACGCTGCACGACAGCTCTGGCGTTTCGCATTTAGAGGAACTGATCCGCACCCCGCAGGCTTCCCCCACTCTACAGAAGTGAAGCGGGTGACCAGGCGAGAGGTGCCCGATCCCCAGGGCCCCGATGGGAGGACACAGCTGGTTCCAAACACGAGGCAGGGCGGCAGCCCAGGCCCCCGGGGAGAGCGGGGGCAGCCCCCGCCTGCCCACTACTCCGGGCCCGGCTCGAGGGCACACACAGCGCCCCAGCGCCGCTTGGCTGCTCCCTGCCCGGCTGCTGTGAGGCCTCCGCGGCGCTTCACCGGCCCCGGGCAGAGCCGAGCGACACACGCCTCCGGCGGCGCTGCCCAGGCTCCACAGCCCGGTCTGCGCAACGCCCCCTGCAGGCAGCGCCCCGCCACCGCCGGGAAAGACGAGGCCAGCCCCCCCTGCCAGCCCGGCCCCGTACCTTGCTGCGCCCCCCGCCGCCGCCGCCCGCTGCTGGGAGCCGGACGCGGGGAAGGCCTGCGCTGGGACGTTCAGCATCCCGCTCCGCTCCGCGGCCCCCCGGCCGCCCTCACCCCCCGCGCCGCTTCCGCGTTCGGCCGGGCCGCGACGGGACTGCGCAGGCGCGGGGGGCGGAGCCCGCCCAGCAGCCGGGGGAGCGACTCCGCCTCCTTCCGGAGCCGCGCAAAACAAAGCCGCCAACCGGCCGCAGAGAGGGGCCGGTGCTGACGTGCTGCGTCCCGCCCCCACCCCGCGAGACCTTCCCCTCCCGCGCCGCCGCCGGGCTGTGACGTGGGGCAAAACAACTTCCACGTCCCACCCTGCTGCGGTTGCTGCGTTGCCCCCCGCCACCCCCCCATTGGATTGTGCCTTGATGCGCCTTTCACCCTGGCATTGGGCCTTTCCGCGGGTTACTTTTTTTGTCGGGACACCACTGAGTCAGATGGCCCCGGCTCTCGTAACACAGCCGCGGGAATCGGCTAAAAGTGGCCAAGACCTCGCTTGGACGTCTGACTGGAATGCCTGCCACCCCTCACTGGAGTGGGCCAGGGATATGGTCTCCACAGAGTATTTTGAGGTTTAATGCGTTACTGTCTGTAAAGTGCTTGAAATTCTCAGATTGGAAGTGCCCTATAAGTGTAAAATATTGTTGTTGTTATTATTATTAAAATATCACGAGTGAGATGTCACAAGAAAGTTAAGCTTATATGCCCTTGAAGAGGTAGAAGAAAAGAGCTATTTGCATTGATCTGGAAGAGAGAGAAAACCTGAGCATGACGCAAAGACATTCTGCCCCGAATCAAATTTAAGGTCCACAATTAAGCATTGTAACTTTTCAAGTGACCTTGAGGTACAGTATAAAACATAGAAAGGACAGTGTGCCTGCTAATAGGCTGGACAGTTTCCCAAACTCTTGAAAGAAAGAAAATTAAACCAATCACACCCAACTTCAGCACCAACATGAGCAGTCAGTCAGGAAGATCTATGCAATCTTCTCTTATAGAATACTCCTTTCTTTCATGCTTAGATGAACAGTACAGCTGTTAATGTTGAGGTATAAAGTATCATCATTGACATCTGAATTAGCACACACTGAACTCAACAGGGTAGTTCAGATCTCATATTTATTGTTTCAAGCTCTCTTGCAAATTCAGGTAGTCACAGCCAGGTCACATGTTGAAGGTTTTGAAATGGAGAGAATGGACTGGTTGTAAAAAAAACATTTTAATCAAGTGTCTGATTCTGCTGTCATTGCATTGTGTTGTACCTTACTCTGAGTAATTTCAGGGGGAACACTGACTGAGCACAGTACTACTACTCATGAGTGTGGGTAGCAGACTTGGACCCCAAATGATTATTTGGCTATAAATTATATTAATTTACAGCTGTCTCCACATTTGCAGGCATTTATTACTGTATGTCAGGCCAAATTCTACTTGTAGCTGTAGCAATGGAACCCCATTAGTCAGAGCACAATTTTTCTCCTTAGTTCTTGCTGTCATCTGGTTTACATGCATCATCAGTAACTATTTTTATACTATATCCTAGGGGTGGCCAACCTGTGGCTCCGGAACCACATGTGGCTCTTCAGAAGTTAAAATGCAGCTCCTTGTATAGGCACCGACTCCGGGGCTGGAGCTATAGGTGCCAACTTTCCAAAGTGCCAGGGGGTGCTCACTGCTCAACCCCTGGCTCTGCCATAGGACCTTTCCCCTCTCCACCCCTTCCCGCCCCCTCCCCTGAGCCTGTCATGCCCATGCTCCTCCCCAGAGCCTCCTGCATGCCATGAAACAGCTGATTGGGAGGAGGAGGCGCTGATCAGCTGGGCTGCCGATGGGCAGGAGGCGCTGGGAGGGGAAGAGCTGATGGGGGGCTGCTGATGTATTACTGTGGCTCTTTGGCAATGTACATTGGTAACTTCTGGCTCTTTCTCGGGCTCAGGTTGGCCACCCCTTTTATATCCAGCAATATGAGCCCATGTAGCTGAGAGCATGATTCAGTTCTCAAGCCTAAATTCTGTCCCCAGTTTCATAGGTGTGACTGACAGCAGAATTTGGTTCTTAATGTTTACACTGAAAAAGTCATGTTGTTTGTCCTTTTTCTAAACTGCTTGTTTCCATGCACATGTATGCAACTTCATTTAATCAGTGAGTGTATGATCTAAGAATATTTGTTCCAGATTAATTACTTGATATGCTCCACCAAAACTATAAAGAAAACTTTCATTGTGTAGCCACTGTACTGGGCCTGTTTTTCCATACTGTTGCACCATTTTTACACTGGTAAAGTCAATAGAGTCACATCATCATAAAATTAGTGTAAAGGAAGGAATAATCAGGCAACTTATTTTAAAATTGCAATTTGGGAATGTGTCAGTTATGGACTACAACGTATAATATATAATACATTATTCGGCTGTTTTAAGAAGTTCAGATTTGTACCTTTTCTCCCTTAAAAGCAAAAACAATCCTTAGACTAGAAAAGATAAAGACAAAAATACTATAACATTTACAAAATATTTCAATTTTTTATTACCAATAACTTACATTCAAATAAATTATCTTTAAAATACTATGATACATTTTTACATCAAGTTTAAATAAGAAAGTTTTAGAGGTGGCATTAGCACTCCATATAGTTAGCAATCAGATTCTATTGCTGAATCTTGTTCCAGTTCAACATTGTCATCTTCACTATCTGAGTCTTCATAAAAGGAAATTGTGGCTTGAACTGGGAAGTTTTTCAGAAGTGCTTCAGCTTCTTGATATAAGTAATCATAGCACCTTGACTTGGGCCAAAATAGTCTGAAATAAATATACAATGTTTTGTGTATTTATTATTGTTAGATATTATCCTTTGTGTTTCTTGTCTGTCAGCCTCCGAGGACAGAAAAGTCTTCTGTGTTTCTAACAGACACCAACTCTTCCCCCCCAACCTACACAACTATCACTTGCTAAGTCAGCACTATAAAAGTTTCTCTTTTATCTGAATATCTGATAGATATTTTGAAATTTAAAATTTGTCAAAAATACAGATCTAATAGAAGCCTCAAATCTACTACCACACAAAATGTAGAATCAAAAACTAACCTGAATCCTGAGATCCACTTCTGTAACTCAGCCTCCATGCTACCCAATTAACTGAAGTTCTACAATATGGTCCAAAGACTATTTAAGATTAACATAAATTATGTGCATTGCTTTGTTACTAAGGGCCATATCCTCCTCTCACACCCGTGTAAATCAGGATCAACTTTACTGAAGTTAGGGTGTTACAAAGGTGTAAATCTGATGTAAGAAGAGAATCAGGCCCATGGGTTTTACCACAGAACTCAATAGTTTTAATCTAAAAGAAAAAAAAAATCACGAGGTCTGATTTGCCTCTCATACCAGGTTTACGCTTGTGTGACTTCACTGACTACAGAGATCCTGATCTACACCAGAGTATATAACATGTGTTTTCAAAGATGGAGAAAAGGGAATAATATAATCCAAATGTCAGTTGAGAGCTATACTGGTTTGCTTTGTGTATGCTATATTGTTTACAGTGCATTATTATGTATGTACAGTATGTGGACTGTTTTTCGTTTTTAACAATATAACAAGGTTTATACACATTTACAGTAAAACGGTGTTGAAAGAAAGCATTCAGAGCAAGAGTAACTTCTCAGGATGAAACTAAAACCTATATTTTCTTCCCACTTGTGGACTACATGCAACTCTTGTCCGGTGGGTTTAGTTTTTCAAACTGATCTCCCATATTGTGCCCACTGATTATAAACACCAGTGACGACAATTAGACTTTTTTCCTACCTTATTGGCAGGGACAGCCAACTAATATAATTTACACTATCAACTAATCACAACAAATTGCAAGCAAAAATGGGAGGTGAATTTAAAAAGCAAAAAAATGAAACGTAAGTTTCTAAAGATAAATGGACACTAACCACTTTGTCACCAGCACCATTTAATATATTTCCCTGTGCAATGATTCATAAACACTGGTTACATATCATCCATAACAGAAACAAATTAATATAAGAGGAGGTTTATTTACTTATTCAAAAATACTTTCTAAGTCAGTTGTAAATAACAAATTATAGTAGGCTACATCTTCTGAACATCATATCTTTTTCACTCAAGTAGTCCGTATCACATTTCCTGTTCACTTTTAGTGTGTAAAGCCACAATTCTGAAGAGACTCTCTCACACGTTTGCATGTAAGTAGTCCCACTGAAGTCAATACAATTACTCAAGTGTGTACAGAATCGGGGCCTAAATTTGTGAGCACTTTATGTCCTACCTCAAATACTAATTTGTGTAATTACATTCTGCCTTCTTAAATTACCTGGATACCATAATGACTAGCTCTCATTACATGCAACAGATAGATCCTCTACAGTTTCAGCTATAGTAATCTTCTTTACTTCCTGACCTGAGCGGTTAGTAGTGTGTGCTATCAAACAGCTGTCAAGTTTCACCTCGGGGATAGGTGAGGAGAGTTCTGTTTGAAAAGTGTAAAATGCCTTTGGATCCTCTGGAATAATAGCAGCTTTATAAATGCAAGGTATCATTGATATGATAGTTTTTAACATTTATTTTGGTAGGCCACAATCCAGCAAAGCACTTAAGCACCTGCATACCTTTAAACATATGAGTACTTTCACGGATATCAATAGGACTACTAACACTGTTTAAAAGTAAGCAGGTACTTAAGTGCTTTGCTAGACAGGGGCTATAACGCACAGCACATTTCTGGAAAAGGTTGCTGTCCTCTTTGCTCAACTGGTTTCAGACCATCTAATGTACATACAACCACAAATACATTTGGTGCTATGGGTGGAGACTAAATGCCATAAAGTCTGCCTCAGAAGCATGACAGCTGTAAAATTAATTATCACCAGGGTCACTAAAGAGCCTGTTACTCCTTGAATAGGAACTTACCTAACTGGATGTGTATATTGGGTAAGTTTTCCTGAGGCTTCTGACATCCCATATGGACTATACAGCTAGGATTAAAAAAAAGAGGAGACAAAATTTACTCCTCCTCTGTTAAATATAACATGGCAAACAGTACAGGTTAATTTACAGCAGTATTCAGTATTCTTGGTTTATTAAACTACACATTGCCATTTAACCTCAGAAATGCCCTTCACTACTGCTGCACAGATTATTTTCCAAATAGATCTTGTTTGGGAGATTGATAGTTTGTTGCTTTTGGGCTTTAATTTTTTTTATTAATTATTAATTATTATTATTGTTTAGTCACAGACCTGCACGGTATCCTGAACGTGTCAGATGGAAGAAAACCTGCTTGGTCTTCTCCATCTCCCTGCCAGGGCAGTATTATTGGCAGATTTGAGACACTTACCACGCTTTGATTTCTTCTCAGCCGTCTCTCTGCATCGCTTTGGGCGGGGATCCAAGGCCTCCAGAATTCCCCGGCCCTGCGGAATCAAGGAAACAGCCTGTTAAATAGAGAGGAACACTCACCTAACCCTAGACTGGCTGCTCAGTTTCCACAGCCCGATGGGTGAAAGAGACATGGGGAAACCAGGCGTGTGATCACAAGTGCAATTGATCTGTCGGAAGGAAGGCGCGGTGCGTGCGCTGGGCTGGAGGAAGTGCGGATACCCGTGTTGTCCTTTGGAACATCCCCGGGAGCTAAACCCGTGAAGTGGAGGGCAGCAGCAGATGTGTGCGCTCTCCATGCTCCGCCGCTGCAGCACGGGATTCGGACGAGGGAGTGGTGCTGCTTTGCCGATGATGATCCTGAAGTAGATCAGTTCTCCCGCTAGCCCGAGGCTGTGGGGCTTTTATAGTCCCCGGCTAATGACTATTTAGGAGTCCACCCCTCCCTTTCCTTTGCTAGTCAGATAAACAAAAAGGCTACGCGTGAAGGCGCATCAGTGTAAACAAGGAGCGTGGACGCGTGCAAGCCCCAAATGGCCCAGGGAGAGATTTGGCAAGTCAGTGTTAATCACACTTGAACAGACACGGCTGCTGTCATGAAAAAAAGCCCACGCTTCTGGGCTGTGAAATGGCAAGTGTGGGAAAGACTAAAGTGACTCTCCCAGTTTCGTGTACTTTTTGCAATACGGGTTGATGCTGGCAGGGACTGAAGCACTATCCTAGCTGCTACCACTGAAGGGAATAAAATACTCACCACTTCTGGGGCAAAAATACTTGTCTGCTTGACTAGGAGCTTTACTTACTGCCCAGGATCTAAACCATTCTGCTTCAGCAGAAATAAAGGAACATAAAATGAAAAATGAGGCCTTTAAAATTGTATTTATTTATTCACTTAATAACAAAACATACTTAGAAATTATATCAAATGCTATCTCTTCTACAAGTCTCTGATATAGAAAATATTTCAACCCTCATGACTTGATTTACTTTATCTATTAATTTATTTTTATTAACAGTTATCCCTTTCAAAGCAGCTCTCACATGCAAACTTCCAGCATGCAATCTTATCTAGCCACAGTGTAGCTTTGCAAAAAAATGTACTTTTTAAAATTGCATTTGACCATTTCTAGGGCAGTACACCCCCAGTGCTGAGAGGCAGACAAAGGAACTTCACATGGTGACAGTGGAGAAAGTGACATGTCCAGTGGGAATGGCTTTGCATTGTGGTACAATCCTACTTCACTTCACCTATTATTAGTGAATATTTACCTTCTTAACCGAGGGAAAGAAAATATTTTGCACTTTATATATTCCCACATCGGATATCAACAATTCTGTTAATTTATGGGAGTTTCTTAAATTATAGGATATATCCTGCCCAACCACCATCCCCAAGGCACTGCATGTATCCAGACCATTGATTCATTCTCTTTCACATGGCAATGATGCTTTATTCTAATGCACAACTACAAATAACTTTGAAAATGTACCCTGTGCAATAACAGCATGTGGTACTAAATGGCAAGACTTTAAACTACAATCCACATAATTTCCCTGCTTCACAGGGTATTGTGAGGCTGTATTCAATACTGTGTGTTACATGTTCAGATGCTGCAACAATGAGCATAACAGAAGAGCCAGTAAATAACAACACTTTTGGGGGATTCAAACAGCAGGAACTCATGGGTCTGGGAGTGCATGCTTCAACAGCAGCTCTGCCTCCCTTTTAAGGGGTGTAGCATGCATTCCTTTCCCTATTGGGTCAGCCCAGCTAACTAGAGCACACACAGCCCCCAAAATGATGGAATATGCCCAGTGACACAACCAGGAGGCATGTTTGCACTGTTTGGGGGAGACTATTGGCTTTCTGGTACTAGTTACAAGCAAAGTTCTGCCCAAAAGCAGATATGGGCAGAAATTTTCTTGTGCATTTTCCTTTTGTGTTTGGGCACAATGCAGTTCATACTATTTAATTCACAGCAGCATGTGTAAAATGGCCATATTGTTAGCTGAGGTAAGTGTAGTCAGTTTGTTAGGTCTATAACTTTCCCCCCCTCCCCCAGAGCTCCAAGTCAGAAATGTGGATACAGACTTAACAGCTTTCTGCTATTTAATCAGTGAGAGAAGAAGGCAAAGCTCTTACAGTGAAAAAGAAATAATTATCTAATCTATGCATTTAACCTTCTGCACATTTGTGATGTGCTCTGCCCAGATCACCTTCATGTATTGGATCTCTAGGTGTACACCATCTGTAGATTGGAGCTGTTCATTGGCTTCTAAGAGGGGTATGAGGGAAGCAAATTTTGAAGCAAAGGTTGCTCTCAGTGTAAAAAATGGCACAATGAATCATTCATAGATTCCAAGCCAGAAAGGACCACTGTGATCATCTAATCTGACCTTCTGAATAACACTGGCTATATAATTTTCCAATTTCATTAAGGATAAGAAATCAAACATTTAAAGTGTAAGATTCCCTTACTAACTCTGCTACACTGCAACATAATTAGTTATTTGAAATTTTTCCCCCTCCTATAGTGGATGAAGTTGAAGTGGTTAAAATAGATGGTATTCACCCAAGAGTTCTAAAGGAACTCAAATGTGAAATTGCAGAACTACTAACTGTGGTATGTAACCTATCATTTAAATCCATTTCTCTACCAGATGACTGGAGGATAGTTAATGTGACATAACCAATTTTTAAAAAAGACTCCAAAGGCAATCCAGGCAATTACAGGCCAGTAAGCCTAACGTCAGTATTGGGCAAACTAGTTGAAACTATAGTAAAGAACAGAATTATCAGATACATAGATTAACATGATTTATTGGGGAAGATTCAACGTGATTTCTGTAAAGGGAAATCATGCCTCACCAATCTACTAGAATTCTTTGAGGGAGTCAACAAGCATGCGGACAACGGGGATCCAGTGGATATAGTGTACTTAGATTTTCAGAAAGCCTTTGACAAGGTCCATCATTAAAGGCTCTAAAGCAAAGTAAGCTGTCCTGGGATAAGAGGGAAGGTTCTCTCAAGGATCAGTAACTGGTTACAAGATAGGAAACAAAGAGTAGGAATAAATGGTCAGTTTTCAGAATGGAAAGAGATAAATTCCCCAGGAGTCTATAATTGGACCATTACTGTTCAACATATTCATAAATGATCTGGAAAAAGGGATAAACCGTGAGGTGGCAAAATTTGCAGATGATACAAAATTACTCAAGATAGTTAAATCCAAAGCAGACTGTGAAGAGCTACAAAGGGATTTCACAAAACTGCGTGACTGAGCAACAAAATGGCAGATGAAATTCAGTGTTGATAAATGCAAAGTAATGCACATTGGAAAACATAATCCCAGCAATGTATATAAAATGAGGGGATCTAAATTAGCTGTTAGCACTCAAAAAAGAGATCTTGGAATCATTTTGGATGTTTCTCTGAAAACATCCAACCAATGTGCAGTGTCAGTCAAGTGAACAGAATATTGGGAATCATTAGGAAAGGACTAGACAATTAGACAGAAAATATAATATTGCCTCTATATAAATCCATGGTACACCCACATCTTGAATACTGCATGCAGATCTGGTCGCCCCAGCTCAAAAAACATGTATTCGAATTGGAAAAGGTACAGAAAAGAGCAACAAAAATTATTAGGGGTAAGGAACAGCTTCCATATGAGGAGAGATTAGTAAAACTTGGATTTTTCAGCTTGGAAAAGAGACGACTGAGGTGGGATATGATAGAGGTCTATAAAACCATGACTGGTGTGGAGAAAGTAAATAAGGAAGTGTTATTTACTTCTTCTCATAACACAAGAACTTGGGGTCACCAAATGAAATTAATAGGCAGCAAGTTTGTTTGTTTAAAACAAAAACAAACAAACAAACAAAATGAAGTATTTCACAAAATGCACTATCAACCTGTGGAACTCTTTGCTAGAGGATGTTGTGAAGGCCAAGACTATAATAGGATTCAAAAAAGGACTAGATAAATTCATGGAGGATAGGTTCATCAATAGCTATTAACCAGAATGGGCATGGATGGTGTCCCTAGCCTCTGTTTGCCAGAAGCTGGGAATGGGTGACAGGGGATGAATCGCTTGATGATTACCCGTTCTGTTCATTCCCTCAGAAGCACCTGGCATGGGCTACTGTTGGAAGACAGGACACTGGCCTAGATGGACCTTTGGTCTGACCCACTATGGCCATTCTTATGTTCTTAAAACTAAACTAGACAAAATGCTCCTACTACATTGTAGTAGATACCTATCTGGTATCCTCAAGCAGGAGATTGGATAAGATGAGGGCATAAAGCAGTCTATGCAGTTATCTGAGTGTGTGATCATAAGCCAGGTTCTCTCTCTTTTTCCTCTGTTACCAAATTGTCAGCATGGAACAACCTACAGTTAGTGCATAAAATCAGATGCCTAAAGACGGTCTGAAGGTAGAATACATTTTTTCATTACTGAAGTGAGAACCAGTTTTTGTAGCTCACACTTAAGTTCTGAGAAAATCATCAACACAAGCCTTGGAACAGAAGAAAGAGGTGGACACCAGGTTGCCTGTAGAAAAAAAATAGAAAAGAGTCTCTGTCAAAACAGCAAAGATGAATTGCCACAGCATTATTTATTTTGTAATTTACTAAGGTGAGCCACCTTATCTACAGAGAGGTTGAAGAGAGGATGCACAGTTCAAATAAAGAAAAAAAACAAAGTTGAGTTCCTTTGCTGGTGACCCTTAGTTACCCCAGAGTTTAGAGTTCCTTTTAATACCTACCCTGTATGAGAAAATCTCTTGAGAAAAGAGTGACTTACCACTTATAAAGCAAACTGAAACACAGAGGTGTTGAAGAGATGAGGAGAAAATAATGACTAGCAGCTGTTGTTGCCACTGTGTGCTTACATGCTACATGACTACTCATAGCCTTGCAGTTTTGTAGTGAAGTCTCATTTATTAAGATAAAGTTATTTTTGCAATACTTTACCATGGCTGACCTAGTGGCAAGAAGGTTGAGTATGACTGGCATTGTTAAACACAGTATAGAAGAATAGCTTTATTTCCTGTCATAGACCCCTTTGCTTCCCTCCTTTGGTTAGCACAGAAGGCAGCAAAGGAATGTTAGCTTGCAATGCATACATAGGACAATGTCTTGTCTATGCTAGACACTAATCCACATTAAAACCATGCTACAACCATTTAAGAAATAGTGGTCAAGTATGATTAACAAAACAATTAATAAATAACATTTTTTAAATTTTGTGGATGCTAGTATAGTTCTGAGTGCAATATGAAGAGAATCTTTGTGATTGAGGCTGAGTCACTCATTAATTCTTGCTTAATCAAATTAACACAGTTTTTCTCTTTGTATGCCTCAGATACTAGTTCTGCATCAGATATTTGTAGCTCAGCTTTTTAAAAATACACAATATGAATATTGGACCAGATGTTGCTCTCAATTACACTTATGTAACTCCAGGGTAAGTCTAATAGAGTAATTCTAATTGTCATGCTCTAATACATTCTGCTTTAAAAACAGAAAGGAACAGAAACTAACAAATGAGGCTTTTCTGCTTTTTTCATAAATAACAACAAAACATACTCAGGGATTATATTAAATGTCACATCTTCCAAAAGTCTCTAATATACAGAATATGTCAGCATTAAGGATTTATTTATTATTAATAGCTATCCCATTCAGAGCAGTTGCACATGTAAACTTACA